TCCTTCTTCGTAATGTCCATCTTGATGGCGGAAACTTCTGCCATATGTGTCCAGATTGCTGTTTACACTGGCAATAATGTCCAGCCAATATCATTAGGCATTCATCATGAACCCAGGAGCCAGACACACAATGCAGATAACTGACCACTGCAATATATCCTTTGACTCGGGGTTGATTTGATACAACAAACAAGTCGGGAAGTCGCTCACCAAGTATTGTAATTTAACACTACGGGCGAAAACTGACATTGGCCACTGAAAGAAATATTGGGTCGAAACAAAAGTTCGTAGCCCTTTTTTAATAGGTAACATTTGAAAACGTGATTTCGTTTCACACGTGACTGGAAGTTGGCTGCTAAATGTAATTTCGGGTTGGGACAAAAGCCAGTAGCAGTTACACTTCTCGTTTATGGAACTCTCTTCCGGCTACTTGCTTGCTAGACAACTTTGATCTTCAAAAATCTAAATGCAATGTCAATCGTTATCTTCTCTCTTCTTAATTCTTGCTCTTTTATTTTCCTCTCTCCTCATTAGTAATTTTATTTTCTCATATTCTGTAACACTCAGTAATGGCGTAACTAGCGTCCTAGTGGCTTTATTGCCTTGCTTGCGGTGAAATGATTAAAACAAAAGAACGCTCACAGGCAATGAAAAATGGATTGCTTATAACAACGTGGAGCAAAATATCCTGGGCAAAACAAAAGGAGCTATCTTTAACCAATTCAAAAGCCCCGATGTTCTAAAACGACGCGACACTTTGAAGAATAAGAATGAATTAATCAAAAAATAATAAAAGGATTCAAATTGTTTTGTGTGCTTACAACTACGCATATATATATATATATATATATATATATATATATATATATAAGGTTTGACACTTAGCTGATTGATGTTACCTTCAGCATCCCGACTCCAGAGTTTCGTAGGCGGACCTATCCGTTCATTTTTCAGGGGGTATCAGCAATATATATATATATATGTGTGTGTGTGTGTTAAAATATATAGAAAATAGGAACTCTCGTTAGGTAAATAATCCAAAGTTCTTTAGTATTTTTGTTATTATTTTTAAAAAAAACAGGCTCGATACAAAAGTAGTCATCTTCCGCTTTAAATTTAGACACCCCAACCTTACCCTGACTTGACCTCTTTTAATGTAACTGAGATATTGATACAAATTATTAACACCTTACGCCCATTTTCTTTAAACAATTGCTCTAGCCGTTACCATAGAAATTTTGATTTCAATTATGAATATGCTTATAAAACGCGTAAACCTCAGAAATAAGTTATTCCCAAAAAAATTCGCTTGAAGATAGGACAGAGCTTAGTACTTTAATTCAAATAATTATATTGAAGTTTTCGGCTCTTGTTTTGAAACATGAGAACTCTTATGTATCGTGTTTGAATTATATTTCTAAATAAATAATTATATATGTATATATATATACACAAGTGACACAAATTTGTGGGGAGATTGAATAATCATTTATAGTAATTCATCGAGTTTAGAAGAATCCTCAACAGAATGCACCGAACGGCCATTTCGTCCTATTTTGGACTCATCAGCAGTGCGCACCCACCACCGAGAATCGAACCCGGACCGTTACGATACAATGCAAGTGTCATACCACTGGACCAACGGGAATTTAGTAAGTAACGGCGCTGTATCGAGTCTAGTCAGTTTCTTCTTCTGTTGAATCAATCTGTCTTTGCTTGAGTTGTATCATATCCGGGTTCGATTCTCGGTAATGGATGCGCACAGCTGATGAGTTTCAAATAGGACGAAACGAGCATCCAGTGCTTTCTTCATTCTGTTGAGGATTCTTCTAGACTCGATTAATTAATATAAATTAATATATATCTATAATTAAAATGAACGGTAGTCATTCAACAGTCGACAAGAACGACGCAGATCGGAGTTGAAATTGATTTTCAAATTAAATTCAAATATTGAGGGATTGGGTTTGCTCAGAGAGTATAATTTCTACAGGGAGACCTTTAAGCAACAACATTCCTCGGAAGAGTAATTCCCTCTTCTATGTTTATTCCTCGTGTCGTTGAAAAAGAACACAGGCGTGTTCGAAAATTCCGACATTAAAGTCTCTATCTTCGTGCTTCATTTCAGTCAAAAAGTTAATATATAATAAATATTAATTTTATTACCAATACTGTTATCATTTTGTTGGCTTTTTATTCTTCAAATTTTATTAACCGGCCTATTTAATCTACAAACACGCACATATAATTTCAGGCTGCAATAGGTAAATTGACGCCATTGTATATTTTAAATTTCACGCAGGCGCGTTTTCTGTCTTTGCTTTAGTTACCTTAGGGTCAGTTGGGCACCGTCCGTGAGAAAAAGAGCACCATGATGCATGGGCCAACACTACATATGCTAATTTTACATCTCGTGTATGATGCAACCTTCTTAAAATTAGCTTCAAGATTATGTCTTCAAATCTCGTATGATACGCGAGTATATACGGTATCTATCTATCTATCTATCTATCTATCTATCTATCTATCTATTTCATTCTGCTATATTATACAGATATTGATTTATATATACCGTACTCGCGAATCATGCGACCTTTGAAGATCTAATTTTGAAGTTAATTTGACTAGAGTAAATGGATATATAGTCTGGTCAACACTGCAGCCAGGGCCTGCAATACATACGATAATTTTATACCTCGCGTATAATGCGACCCCCTTAAAATTAGCTTCTAAATTAGATCTTCAAAAATCGCTTGATACGCGTGTATATACGGTATATATATATGTTGTCTATTTAGGCATCAAATGTTCTTTAAGGTAAATACTATTGAAAATGGCAGATATTTTATGTTGATTAATTTTATCGATCGTCTTTTCCAAATTATGAATAATCCTTCTCAAACAAGGGGGAATTTTCATCAAGACATCTCCAGAAATAAATGTAATATGGTGCAAGCTTTCGACTTTCTAAAATCATCATCAGGATAGGTAGAGACAAATTTATGCATTTAATATTTATGCGTAAATTTTTCTTTTCATTTTTTTTTTCTTTTTTTTAAAAATAAGCTGTTATTGGTTAAGCGTTATAAGATGTGATAAAAGCGCCTGGAGCTTTCTGTCTCTTCTGGTATTAGCAAGCGCCCTCTGCTGGTGTATGCGTATCTTTAAGCCTTCATTCATTGCTTGTGGGTAAGACGTAATCATGTCGATGCAAACACGTTCGTGAATAACGGACATTAGAAGCATGCGACCGTGTTGATACGCACAAGTGCACGCTACTTGTTGTACGCAGGAGTCTATGGGTGCTGGAAGTGAACACCTGCCCTTCATGGATTGGTGAGCTCAGAAACGGCATATTGACTTTTGCTAGAAATGAAGCCACTATTTATATCGAACTATCCGTGCATGTAGATATTAGGGCGATTTCAAGGATCAAAGCAGACATAAATATACTAATATACAAATGTGTTTATGTGTTCGTTTGAATTTCTCTCTCCCCCTTCTCTCTCCCCCTTCTCTCTCTTTCTATATATATATATATATATATATATATATATATATATATATATATATATATATATATATATATATATATATATATATATATATATATATATATATAAATAAACCATAAAATCAAATTAAATTTGATTTCGAAGAAAAAATTTATAACTCGAAATTTATAAAGCAAAAATTCATGAGCATGCACGTGTTAAAAACGTTAAATTCATGAATGCGCACGTGTACAAAATGGAGTAAAAAGGACTGCAAAGACTCAGAACAAACTGAAGAATTAGAAATATCGTTTAAAAGCAACCCCCTAAATGCACGGAAGGGAATGTAACGAACTCTCCGAGTTGATAGATAGATAGATAGATAGATAGATAGATAGATAGATAGATAGATAGATCAGAACAGACTGAGATAGATAGATAGATAGATAGATAGATAGATAGATAGATAGATAGATAGATAGATAGATAGATAGATCAAAACAGACTGAGATAGATAGATAGATAGATAGATAGATAGATAGATAGATAGATAGATAGATCAGAACAGACTGAGATAGATAGATAGATAGATAGATAGATAGATAGATAGATCAGAACAGACTGAGATAGATAGATAGATAGATAGATAGATAGATAGATAGATAGATAGATATGAACAGACTGAGACAGATAGGAACAGCCTGAGATAGATAGATAGATAGATAGATAGATAGATAGATAGATAGATAGATAGATAGATAGATAGATATGGAATTCTTTCAGCATCTCCCAACACAATCCCTGTAAAGAGCAGACGGACTCAAGAGCTTTCTGGATTGAAATAAACATGTCATGATACGTACTGGAGATTTAGGCTTGTGTTATCATTGGGCAGCACGTCGATAATCTTACAGCAGGTAGAAGTTCAAATCTAACACAGTGGCATTTTAATAATAGGAACTTCAATCAAACATAAAAAAAAGTGTTTGATACATAAAAGAGTGCCCAGCTTAATAAAATGCATTGGCAAGTGTTTGCACATTTGATTTGCTCGTGTTGTTCAAAAGCCTCACTCTTTTGTGCAGCCAACTCGTATATATATATATATATATATATATATATATATATATATATATATATATATATATATATATGATATATAATATAAGGGCCAGAGGAAACAACGCATAATATACTTAGTGAGCTTGAGTAAATGGATGGCGGAACAGGAGTTACGAGAAATAGAAACAAAATTTATTAAGAGTTACAAAGAACAGGTAGTTGTGGAGAGCCATGATTGCATACGAGCTGACGGTACATGATATGAAGAAGAGGAATGAAAGACGAAATATATATACGAAATCATGGAAAAACATCCATTTACACTTATCTTTTACAACAATTTACTGTTAATGCACGTAATACAGCTTTCTCCATGAAGCCTATGAATCGGACATTATACAGTGATAGTTTACGATTCAATTTAACCTATAAAAACTGTTATTGATGCAAACTATCTATCTATCTATCTATCTGAGAGTTGACTATATATATATATATATATATATATATATATATATGTGTGTGTGTGTATATATATATATATATATATATATATATATATATATATATATAAAAAGTGGACTCAGAGTTCAATACCGAGCGTCGATATTCTGGTTCATGATTATATATATATATATATATACATATATATATATATATATATATATACACACATTCATATATATATGTATACACACATTCACGTATATATATATATATATATATATATATATATATATATATGTAAAGTTATATATTTTGGTTCTTGATTATATATGTTTTATATATATATATATATATACATTCATATATATACACACACACACTCACGTATATATATATATATATATATATATATATATATATATATAAAAGTGGACTCAGAGGTCAGAACTGAGCGGCGATATTCTGTTCATGATTATATATATATATATATATATATATATATATATATACACACATACATACCCCCCCCACATATATATATATATATATATATATATATATATATATATATATATATATATATATATATATATAGATATATATAAACTATGTGTTAAATCCCTGTGCGTCTGGGAGTAAATATGTGCTCGTGCGTGTGTGTTCATTAAAAAATCCAAATGGATGAGTCACCAAAAAACGCTATCGATTACACATTTTGCTGTCGACAGTTGGCACGTTTCCTGTCCGTGTATTCAGGAAAGGCATGAACTTCACTCGCCCTCCCTCCCTTACAGATCAGCTATGTTCACTCACTGGGTCACTTATTACTTTTTCTTCTATTATTAATAATGCATCACCGCGAGGCCGAGATATAAAAAAAAAAAATCTAATTCCGTGTACTCTCACTTTATTCATCCGCCACCGCCATCCCCTCCCCCATAAACAACACACAACGTATTTGAGGGCATAAAAAACTCACGGCCATATGAGACACACAGAAAAGACTAATATTTTTATTATCGTTTCACCAGGGTCTATTCAAGGTAAGTAGATTTTAGCCTATATAAGCATATATAGCTTATTCAATTTATATATTGAGTTGATCCCGGTGGAACTAGTAGTCCTACCAAGTTACATTAGTTGGTGGACACAATCTTAACAATACAAGATATCTAAAGATAGCGTGTATCTGTAAAGGAACAAAATTAATAAAAAGACAAGAGGAAAAGCTATTCTTGGCAAACGCGTTTCATCTTCCGAGGGAATTTATCAAGGCAATGTTGGCAATGTAAGATATGCAAAAAGACAGAGTGTTGATAGCAGACAAAGAAAAGAAACAACTGGATGTCCTACAAAGAAAAGTATTTTTTACAGCTTATCAATCCTTTTTGGGTTATTTAAAGCCAAAACCTATTTCGGAATGTAGGATATAGCTTACAGCACCCGGTGTTTCTAAGCAGTCACTCATATAAGTACTGACCGGCTTCGACACTGCTTAACCAGTGTTTTTAGTAGTAGTGAGAAGCAAAGACTAAACATCAATTGTAACACGACAGGACGTTTGGCTGTCAGCAAACGGAAACGGTTCAAGATACGGACTACAAATTGGAAACACCAAAATCAATCACGTGCGAACATTTAATTATCCGGGAAGTGTTTTAACAGAGGACAGAAAAAAATATTACACCGAAATCCGAAGAAGCCATGGAAATAAGTCCAGAATATAAAATGAGCAAAGTTAGAATAAGAACCCCTAGCCAAGAATATCCACCCAACTTTTCCCATGCAATAAAATGTATATTATTGTATCCCCATTTTGTGACTCAACGAACACTCATTGCCAATTTTGTGATGTCAACGAATACCCGTTGTCACTTTCGTAATGCTCGTTGTAGTAGAGACTTTGTAATTGCAGATACAACTATAGTAACGCCGTTGAACAATTACAAAGTCTCTACTATAACGAGCATTACGAAAGTGACAACGAGTATTCGTTGAAATTACAAAAGTGGCAACGAGTGTTCGTTGGCATCACAAAACACAAAAATTATATTGTTATACAGGAATGCCGACACTTGAGTTTGAACATAGATCACCAGTGAGCAAACACAGGCGATCCCATGATTGAATTAAGTAGATCACGTGGTCCTAGAGGAAACGCATATAAGGGAAGTCGCGTGACGTCTAGATTGATCTGCAATTCTAGTCTATCCTCTATACTATTCGGATCGCATTTCTATTCTATCCCCTATTACTATTTGGATCACTATTTCTAGTCTATCCTCTATTACTATACGGACCGCTATTCTCTACTCTATTCACTGTACTATTTCTCTATTCGGATCACTATACGTATTACTTTTCGAGTGAGTATTATCGAGTTAGTACAATTAGTGTGAGTGATATTCGAAGGCGTCTGACACCAGTATTGTTCAACGGCGTTACTATAGTTGTATCTGCGATTACAAAGTCTCTACTAGAACGAGCATTACGAATATGACAACGAGTGTTCGTTAAGTCACAAAATGCGGATACATTTTATTGCATGGGAAAAGTGGGGGAAAATTCTTGGCTCGGTGTTCTTATTCTAACTTTTCTCATTTTATGCTCTGGACTTAGGAATATTCTCATCTCTCCCCCGAGATATACTAACAGTATTGCCTATTTGATTTATAGTAATTCGCCTGTCATCCATCACCATGTGACGAACTCGATTAATGTTTTCCTTGGTAGTTGTAGTTGAAAGACGTCCAGAACTTGTGTGATCTTCAAGGCTCTCTTTTCCTCTCCTAACTTCAGCTGCCCACTTTTGCTCTGTTCATGAAGCTGGGGCGTTATCTCCTAATGTAGCAACCCTGTCAGCATGAATGTTTTTGAGGGTTAACCCCCCCCCGCTTTTTTTGTTGGTACTTGATATCACCAGGGCGCCAAACATTGTGCATTTTCAAATGAAATGGTTACTAGTTGCTTTTGAAGTGTTCTTTGAACAGTCAGATGTCAATTTAACTGGAAAGACACAAAAAGAGTAGAAATTAATGCATGCAAGATTTCCCGGGGCTAGCATCATCCCTTCATAGTCAGCCTATGAATCTTTCAGCCCACCGTCGTGTCTGGATAGAAACGATTCACTTATTAATAAGAAAAGTTGAAATTAATGCATGGAAGATTTAATAGCTCTAGCATCACTCCTTCATAGTCAGCCTATGAACTTTTCAGCCCAGCCTCGTAATCTGGGCTGTTACACCGATGTGAACGACTGTTGTCCAAGAAAATGTTTTACTGTTTGACGAACTGCTTAAGAAGACGTTGGATAACCAAGGTTAATGTCCAATGACCCCTGAAAGAATTTTTCCAACTCCAGTGTCAAAAAACAATACAGGATACAATTAGAAACATATACGGATCTTTACGATTGTCATCTGTTTTGAGAAAACCGTAGAACAAGTGTTTCGGAGGAGAGAGAGGGATTTAATTATGGTTTCATTAATAGTAAGTCATCATTAAGTTCTCCGGGACCTGCGGGAGCTTATGCCAGACACGTATTGATCGTATCAGCTTATTTATGTAAGTTTATATAATATTCATACAAGAGAATACATACAAGTGGATCAATAAATCCATATTCTGACACATAGTTATTAGTCAGAATGTGTATATATATATATATATGAAGAAAAATATACGGAAAAAACAAACAAAAATCCTTATATACAATTATGCTGTGTTAATGTTAATATGTCAACGTCGGACGTTTCGGTCTAATAAACCATCTTCAGGACATATTCGTAAAATATAATTAACATTATCAATTCAACATGACAAAGACGATGTACATAAGAACAAGACTTATCCAAACAGATAACTGAAAGTTTTATAAGATCAGCGTTCCTTTTAAACATGGTCACGTTGTCATCACGTGGGCGACGCCGTGAAAACGTATTCCTAAAATTTTCGAGTATTTTGAATGAAAAATGAAAAGAATTCTATTTTGATCTAAAATTTATATGTACGCTTGTTTGTTTTTTCCGTATATTTTTCTTCATACTGTCGGATCTATATCCATATATTTTTGCATATATATATATATATATATATATATATATATATATATATATATATATATATAAGTTTAAAACACTAATATTCCATGGTCATAATTTATTCCATTGAAATCGTAAATACGATCCAATTCTTGCTAGATTAGATAATCGTTATATTTATTTTTTATATGTTTATATTTGTTTTGTAACTTGTAGTCGATATTAATTTTGTCAAATTTTCTTAATTACACAGCGGCCTTTTTAATAAATGCCCTTCAGTTTTAGTTTTCCCCTCCCCATCTCTCTCTCCCTCACCCCTTTTTCTTTTCTTTTCCTCTCCCTCCCTCTTCTTCTGATCTTTAAGATGAGATCGTCTATTGTGTGTGTATGTCACCACAAAATGTATCCTTTCCGGTTACATCTTTAATGTATTAGACATCCGACAACATTCATATTTCTCTCACTTAAGCCGTCTTTGACACCCCTCTCTAAAACTTCTCTCTGTTAAATTTTAATCCCAAACCTTCTCTCGTCTGTTAATCCTCTCTAGAGCTCTAACATTTGTCCCACACTCTCATACTTACACTCTCTCTAAATTTTATTTTTTATTTCTGGAGTTGTTTTTTTCTGTTTTCTTTTTGAATTTGTAGGTCTGATGAATTGGATCGTATTTACGATTCCAATGGAATAAATTATGACCATGGAATATTAGTGTTTAAGCCTTTTTATTATATCCTTACTCTGTCCTGGACATTGAGTTCTCCCTGGATTCTATCCTCTTGGAATTTTTTTTATACAAAAAATAAATATGTATATGTATGCATATATATTTTGCATATGTATGTGTATATTTTCCACTAATATTATCTATCTATCTATCTATATATATATATATATATAATGAAAGGGATTAAGTCCGACAATTACCTAATATATTTTCTGTTTATACGTTATTTTTATAGATATAATTTATTTAAGTAAATGCTCTATTTTTAATTAAATAGTATTAATTACATTTTCCGGTCTGAATGTTCGAGAAATTTCGTAGAAATATGCGTTCTCCGGCAGGAATCGAACCTGTATCCTCATACGGAAACCGTCATTTGATCTGACGCGCTATACCATTCAGCTACAGAGAAGCGTCTGGTTAGCAAAGTCCAAATTACTGTTTATAAACACACAATCCTCGATGATTTTTCTCGATTTTCTAACATAATGACAACATATCATGAAATCGATTAAGTCAGAAAATTATTTATTTCTCGAAAATTCAAGCCGCTAAACGTAATTAACACTGTTTAATTAAAAGCAGATCATTTATTTAAATAGATTGTATCTGTTAAAATAACGAATAAACAGAAAATATATGTGTGTGTATGTATGCATGTATGGATGTATATTTAAGCAGAATGTCTCCATTCAAAGATGTTTCATTGAATAATATAAATATATTATGTTTATTGATTTTTATAATAATCCTTTCTGCTTGTCTAATAAGCTTTTTGATATTGAGATAAAATTCATCAAAGGAAGTGCTGTGGTTTTTCTCTACGCAAGTACTTTCGATCTCCTATGAGATCAGCCTCAGGTGTGAATTATAAAGACAATCTTATTGTGATCGTAATCATTATGATGATGATTTTTTTAAAAACACCCATGAATGCGCTGTTATAATTATTTTAAAATCTTTAAATAATTATAACAGACGACTTTCATTCATCTTGAATGGGTTAGATGTAGCCGTAAGTTCTATGCTAACAGTTTCATCTCACGCAATTAGATTCAGTCATCTTCAAGGATAGAAATTATTTTGTTTTCGGTAGCATCCGAGACGAAAAAATATTACGCGAATCGAAGTATGTTTTTTGTTTTTTAAATGTGTTATTGATAATGGATACAAACTTGTGAAGCGTGCAGTCGTAACGCTAAGGTTGTTATTTTTTTTATTTTTTATTTTTTGAAAATTTAAGTGAGTGCGTTTTTTTCACTAATATGGCAATTTAAGAATTTTTTTTTTTGTAGAAGGCCCGAAACACAAAAAAAGTTTTAACGTCAAAATGTTTGTTATTAAGAAGAGCGTACAAAGTATTTTTAAAATTAATTTTTAAAAACTTTTCCTCTTGTCTATCACGTTCCAAATTTGGTATGTGTATAAAAGTGTAAAACTTGTGGTAATGGATATTTTCGTGTAGCCATTTCCGGTAAAATGACACATTAATTTGGAAATGCTTGGAAAAAATCAAATAATTGTCCTATTTTTAATGAAACTTTCAGGATTTATTCAAACATGAATGCCGTCATGGGTATAACGATAAACTACGTCCAACTAAATAGTTCAATAAGTAATGTCTCAGTTGTTATCCCGAAAATTTGCACGTCGGATCAGTTCTTTTAAATCAAATTTGTGGTGCAGTTCAACTTATATTACAATGAATCATTCATGCAAAAAGTAAATTAGTATAGTCAATGATATAAAATGGCGAAATCCTTTTGCTAACAAAATTTTAAAGATGCATTAACCTACAAATCACTCGATGAATTTTATGATCCTTGTTTTTCAAAATTATAAGCTGTATAGGGTTTTTGTTAAATACGCTATCAAAAACACATTTAAAAAAAAATATTTCGGTTATTAAATATTATATTTTTTCGTCTCGGATGCTACCTGAATTTTACCAAAAATCAAAAATAATTTCTATGCCTGAAAATGACTGAATGTAAAGTCGAAAGCTTAATTGAGTGTGTGCGTTCTGTGTATGTCTTAGTGTGTGGTAAGGGATGTTTTTAATTTCCGAATACGGTTAGCACATTGTGGCTTTGTTCGTAGATAATATTGTTAAGAGTTGGATTTTTCTTTTTTATTATTAAAGCTCCCATTATTTTTAGTCTTTTTTGCAGGTGGATGCAGTTAATATATTTGTGTTTTCTACTAGTATGTTTCTAATGGAGTCTGGTAAATTTTTGTGTGTGTGTTTAAATGGGTTCTAATGAAGCTGTGATCAGATTGGTGTAAGCTGAAAAATCGAATCATCCTTGATAATGGCTAAAGCTATAGCCGAAAGCGCTCGGAAATATAAAACATTTGGACAGTTTTTACACACCCTTTTGTCCAGAAAAGAAAGCTCTTGTTCGAACACAAGAAAATTTAAATAAAAAGCTTAACCGTAGTACCTTGTCTGTCCTTTTTAATGAAAAACACACATATATATATATATATATATATATATATATATATATATATATAGTTTATGAAAAACTAGGTAATCTCTATGGGTAAACCTAAGGAGGATAAAATCCAGAGAGCTCAACGTAAATTCAGAGCAAATAATTTAAATAAAAACAAACCACTTTAAGGTTCCATGTAATAAATTATTTCACCACATAGTTTATGAAAAACTAGGTAATCCGTATGGGTAATAATTTATTACATGGAACCTTAAAGTGGTCTGTTTTATTTATATATTTATATATATATATATATATATATATATATATATATATATATATATATATATATATATATGTATGTATGTGTGTGTGTGTGTGTGTGTGTCATCCTAAAGAAAAAGAAAATCGTTACTGTGTTGATTAATTTTACACGCAAAGCGATTTTGGTGAGTGAAGGATTTTAGGATTCTGATTTACTCGTCTGGGTGATTGTTTATTTATGATGAGTTTAGTTTGATAGTAATTATATATATATATATATATATATATATATATATATATATATATATATATATATATATATATATATAAGATAAATAATCCGGTGTTCTGATAGATATTTTATTTTTATATATAATCCGGTGTTCTTATAGATATTTTTAATTTTTAAAAAATAGTACACAGTTCTCGATGTTTAAATTTACAGAGCATGAATTTAATATTTGTATTTTTTTTTATAACAATGATACATTAAATGATAGATAAAAATTGAACACCTAGACACCCTCGTCTAGTAAAATAGATTCATCTGTAACCTTGGAAACATGAATTTTGTTTTAGCTGTGTCTTTAAAACCCAGTGATTTTAAAAGTTACTCCAAAAAATTCGCTTGAGGATGAAATGGAACTAATGTCTTTAATTTAATTACAAAATTAAATTCGGGGCTTTTAGCTTCCATTTTTGAAACATGGTTAGAACTGTGTAGCGGAAAAAACATATTTTAAATCAATTAATTTATAATATATATATATATATATATATGGCTTAAATGTGACATATTATTTTGAATTTATTTTGTTTAAATGTTATGCTTTTATGGATACTTATATTCGAGTAGAAGCTTTGTTTTTTTAATTAAACAATATTTCTTATCCAAATACATCTACCGGTTTTAATATTCGAGAAATCTTGTCAGAAAAATATGTCCTCCCTCTGGATTCGAACCTGGATTCCGCTATGGGGAACCGTCACTGGATCTAGCGTGCCTAACCGCTCGGCTACGTAATCCTGAATAGTGCCTTTTAAATACACATTCTCTGCCGATTCGCGAAACATCCATATATTCAAGATTCTGTTGTTTAGCTTTTGATTTTGTTTCGTTTCTCTCTCATTTCTTCTTTGAAGTGTTTGTCGGTCGCAAACATAGCGTACATTTTCCTCTATCTGTACCTAGGCCACGTTTTCCTTTCTCCCCCTACTCGTTCTCTCTTTTATTCATCGACTTTCCTCTCTCTCTCTCTCTCTCTCTCTATCTATCTATCTATCTATCTATCTATCTATCTATCTATCTATCTATCTATCTATCTATTTTTCCTCTTTCTCTATATCTTTCTTTCTTTCTTTCTTTCTTTCTTTCTTTCTTCCACTCTTCCTGTCGTTGTTTTATTTTTCTCTATTTTCTCGCCTTCTCTCTTTTCTCTCAAAACCACCTTTCCTTTTTTTTTCTCTTTGGTCTCCTTCGCTTTGACCCTTACTCTTTCTTTTTTCCTCTCTTTCTATATTTCTTTTTTATCACTTCCTCTGTCATTCTTCCATAACCCCTCTCTTTCGCATTCTTTCTATCTTTCTCTCTTCTATCAGTTTTTCTGCTTCTACGACTCTTTCTTTCTTTCTTTCTTTCTTTCTTTCTTTCTTTCTTTCTTTCTTTCTTTCTTTCTTTCTAGTTCTCTTCTTTCTCGGCTTTATCTTTTTCTTCTTACTCGATTTAACTTTCTCCTCTACTTTCTTTTTTGCTTTTCGATCTTTCTTTCTTTCTTTCTTTCTTTCTTTCTTTCTTTCTTTCTTTCTTTCTAGTTCTCTTCTTTCTCGGCTTTTTCTTTTTCTTCTTACTCGATTTAACTTTCTCCTCTACTTTCTTTCTTGCTTTTCGATCTTTCTTTCTTTCTTTCTTTCTTTCTTTCTTTCTTTCTTTCTTTCTTTCTTTTTCTTATCTCGTTTTGTCACTAAATTCCTCCATTTTGTTTTGCTTTCTCTTTCGCTTGCTTTTATTATATTCGTTTTTTTTTTCGGTCCTTCCACATCGCTTTCTCTCTGCTTTATTTCGCAATATTTTCGTTCTCTTCCTAAGTCTCTCTCGCTCCCTCTCCCTTCCTACCTCTCTCTGTCATTCACTTAGTCACTCTTTCACTCAACCTCTGTTTCTCTCTCCTCTACTATATATCTACCTATGTATCTATCTATCTCTTTCTTTGTCTCTCTTCAATATTTTTCTCTCTTTATTTTCTTTGCTTCTTTCTTTCCTTAAAGATTCTTTCTTATCTCCATTTCTCCCATTTTCTTTCTTGAATTCTTTTACTCTCTTCGTCTTTTCTCGTCTGACATTTCCGAACCTTGTTCTCTTTTTACTTAAATTTCATTCTTACTCTTCCTTTCTTAAATTCTTTCTTCGTACTTTCTCTCTTTAATTTTCTTGCAACTCTCTCTCTCTCTCTCTTTCTCACTCTCTCTCTCTCTCTTTCTCTCTCTCTCTCTTCTTTTATCATTTCTTTCTTTCTTCCTGTGTTTTTTGTCTATTTCTCCTTCTATTTTTTCTTTCTCAATTCTTACCTTTCAGTTATTACCGAATTTTCCTCTTCTTTCTGTATTCTCCATTGTCTTCCATTTTACCATTCGATCTTTCTTCCTCATTCTACGTATCTCCCCTTCTTTCTTAAATTCTTCCTACATCTTTCTTTCTCTCTTCATCTTTTTTTTTTATTTCTCCCCAGTTCTACGTATCTTATGTCCATTCGTAAATTCTTCCTGCATCTTTCTTTCTTTATCTATCTTTACATCTCTCTCCTTCTACGTATCTCCTTTCTAAATTTACTTCTACGTATCTCTCTTTTTTTCTTAAATTCTTCCTCTATCTTTCTTTCTCTCTCTACGTTTCTAAATTCATCTTTTTGTCTACGTATCTGGCTTTCTATCTTAAATTCTACCTCCATCGTTCGTTCACTTTTGCTCTTTCTTTCTTTCTTTCTTTCTTTCTTTCTTTCTTTCTACGTATCTCAGTTTCTATCTTAAATTCTTCCTCCATTGTTCTAACACTCTTTCTCTTTCTTTTTTCTTTATCTTTCTACGTATCTATTATTCTTTCCTAAATGCTTCCTCTATCTTTCTTTCTCTCTTTACAGTTCTTTCTTTCTCACGTCTACGTATTCTTCGTCCATCTTATTTTTTATCTTTACTTTCTTTGTTCCTCCTTTCTCCTACGTATATCTCTTTCTATCTTATACTTTTATTCCATATTTCTTTCTTTCTCTTTCTTTGTTCCTCTTTCCTTGGACTTACCTCGCTATCTTAAAATTTTCCTCCATCTTTCTTTCTCTCCTTCCGTCTCTCTCTCTCTCTCTCTCTCTCTCTCTCTCTCTCTTCTCTCTGCTTTCATCTTTTTTGTACTCTTTTCTTTCTTTGTTTCTCTCTCTTTTTGCATATCTCTATTTGGATCTTAAATTAATCTTCCATCTTTCGTCCTCTCTTCACATTTCTTAGTTTCGCCCTCCTTCTACGTTTCTTTCTTTCTTTAATTGTTCCTCCCTCTTTCTTTCTCTCTCTCTCTCTCTCTCTCTTTACCTTTTTTCTCCCTCCTTTTTCTCTCTCTCTCTACTTTTCTTTGTTTGTCCCCCTTTTTTCTCCCTCTCTCTCTCTCTTTCTTTGCCATTCTTTGTATCTCTCTCTTTTTACCTTTCTTTGTATCTCCCTCCTTTTTCTCTCTCTCTTTACTTTTCTTTCTTTCTCCCTCCTTTTTCTCTTTTTATCTTTCTTTGCTTTCTTCCTTTCTGTCTCTTTTTACCTTTCTTTGTTTCACCAACCTTTCTCTCTCTCTTTTTACTTTTCTTTGTTTCTCCCTCCTTTCTCTCTCTCTCTCTCTCTCTCTTTACCTTTTTTGTCTTTCTCTCCTTTCTCTCTTTACCTTTCTTTGTCTTTCCCTCCTTTCTCTCTCTCTCTCTTTAGCTTTCTTTGTTTCTCCCACCTTTCTCTCTCTCTTTTTACTTTTCTTTGTTTCTCCCACCTTTCTCTCTCTCTCTCTCTTTACCTTTCTTTGTCTTTCCCTCCTTTCTCTCTCTCCCTCTTTACCTTTCTTTGTCTTTCCCGCCTTTCTCTCTCTCTCTCTCTCTTTCTCTCTATTTACCTTTCTTTGTTTCTCCCACCTTTCTCTCTCTCTCTCTGTCTTTACCTTTCTTTGTTTCTCTCTTTCCTTCGTAAATTCTTCATTCACCTTTTATTTTCCTTTAACGTTTCTTTTCTCTACTATGTCTCTCTCTTACTTCCTTAAATTCTTCTTTTCCTTTTTCTTTCCCTGCATACCTTTTTCTTCCTCCTTTTATTCATCTCTCTTTTTTCTTAAAGTCTTTCCTCCCCCTTTCTTTTACACACCTTTTCCTCTCACCTTTTATCTATCTCGCTTTCTTTCTTAAATTCTTCCTCCCTCTTTCATTCTTTCCTTGCCTTTCTTCGTTTCTCTATCTTTCTACCTAAGTCTTTTTTCTCCATCCTTACATTGATTTTCTTTTACATAAACGTCTGTATTTCTTGCCTCTGTATATTCATCGTCTTCCTCTTTACTCTCTCTTTCTATTTCTCTCTTTCTACCTCACTTACCCGACACCCTCTGCTCATACCATTCATCAAAAATGGTCGCTTAACAAAATTACAGATTCGAAACTCGTGTTGCTTTTATCCGATCGCGAAGCATCTACCTAAATTTTGTAAACTTTTCTCGAACGTTGGGCTTAGCAACTGCTAAACCATGTCTCCTCGTAAACACTTCAGTTCGAGGTGAACCTTGCATCGGTAAATATTTATATCCTGTACATCACATACGAAGCCAAGAAGGTGGAAACAGCGATGCTTGTCTTAAAAAAAAAACATGGCGTCACTGAATCATTAGAGGAGGAAAAATATACAGCAAAAAGCAACTGTAAAGATCTAATGAGAGATTCGCAAACATTGGTTGGCTTTCTCAAAGAACTTTTCGCACTTGTCTCTTTGACTTCTAAGGACGAAATATCTTAATAAAACCTCGTGTCATCTATTCCTTATATTCTTTATTTTTTTCTCTCTCTCTCATATATATATATATATATATATATATATATATATATATATATATATATATATATATATATATCCTAATGAACTAGTACCTGGCTAATTAGGATTTATTTATTTTACTTATGCTCTTCTTAGTGTATCGAGTACTCTTCGTTTTAACTTATTATTTGCTGTTTTTTTTTCTTTGTACCAGAGATTTAAGGTACTAGACGATTTCTTTCGCCCTGTTCGGAGATTTCTGGTGCTTTCTTTTTTTTGCTTTGCTATTTTTTCCTCGGATGCCAATTTATTTGAAAATTGTGCTATCCAGGTTTTTTCACGCACCGAGTTTAAATAGATGTACATTATATATAATTTAAAATCCATAGTCCTAATAAACAGTTTAAATACCCTACAAAAAAAAGATAACCCTTTATGAAGTCGTCAAAAAACAGCAGTTTTTTTTTTTATTTATATATATATATATATATATATATATATATATATATATATATATGTACACAAAACCCTTTCAGAAAAAAAAAAAAAAAAATAAATAAATCTCCATAGACACGTAAACCAGACTAGGCGAAATCATCTTCCGTTTTAAATTTAGACACCCCCAACCTTACCCTGTCTTGACATCTGTGAATGTAAGTCTATACTGATACAAATTATTAACACCATACACTCCTTTCTATTTAAACAATCGCTCTAGCCGTTACCATGGAAATTTTTATTTCAATAATGAATATGCTATAAAAACACGTAAATTTCAGAAATAACTCATTCCCCAAAAAAAAAAAACGCTTGAAGATGGAACAGAACTTACTTTAATTCAATTTAATTCAAATAATTATATTGAAGTTTTCGGCTCTTGTTTTGAAACATGAGAACTCTTATGTAGCGTGTGGGAATCATATTTTTAAATAAATAATTATATTTATGCTCTCCTTTTGTATCGAGCACTATTTTTTAAGAATAATAACAAAAATACTAAAGAACTTTGGATTATTTACCTAACGAGTTCTTTCCTATTTTCTATATATTTACACACACACACACACACACACACACACATACATATATATATATATAAATGTTTATAAATCTTACATGTTTCTTGTATACACACACACACACAAAACACACACACACACACACATATATATATATATATATATATATATATATATATATATATATATATATCTGAATTCTCCCGTCGTTTTCTGACGTATGAGGGTCAAACAGCTCAGTTCCTAGGAACCGACAGCCAGACACCAACACATAGGATTTGATTATAGGTGTGAAGCCCTTGTGCAGAAGCAACCACACTCCTTGAATAGTTGAATACAAGGACCTGGTGCGCTACATGCCACAAGGTCCCCAAACCGCCCCCCCGCAGGTTTTGAATTCAGAGTTATAATTGTTAGATTAAGAATTGAACCGTTGTATCTTAGAAATGATTAAAGATATCTTACTGGAATTCTCCGAGATTTTTATAGCACTATTGGATTCTACTTTGAACAATAAAAACGTATTTAGTTCTAAGTTGAAATGACGATCCTCCTTCCTGTTGTGACCTCCTGGTCTCTACTGCTCCCTCTTTTTTAAACTTAGCCACCGTTCTCTTAATGCTTCTTGAATGGACTTTGAAGATGGAAACCAGAGTATGAATGTTGGTACCATTACCAGAGGCCTGAATGGTCTTTTTCCTCTCACCATTGCTCATTTGGGAAGACACGGTGGCGCTGACGGAAAAAGGTTTTAACCTGTTCTCTTTCGAGCGGAATAACTCAAAGAGTTTTTCAGAGATTCTTACGACAAATGGTGACAATATGGCTAAACGTCTTAAACCTGGAAAAAAGCTCCATTGGTTTAGTGTATCTTTTTTTTTTTTTGTTAGATATTAAACATTTCGTGGGATGGACAATTATTCCATTCCGTTACACGATTTGCATAATTTTGCTCTTACACCCGGTGTGCGATGGGTAAATTTTCGCCATTTTATATTTTTAATTTCGTGCATGTACGTTGTTTTGTTTTTGGGGGTTTTTTATCATGTCGACTGCACAGTATAGTAGGGTCAGTTGGGCACCGTCTGTGAGAAAATGAGCACCATGACGCAATTTCCTCCGCCAGAAATTTGGATGCTATACTGCTTGGCATTCGCACTGGAAGCTCCAATACGAACATTTCAGAGTGTTTGGGTGTCAATCTGACAGTTCTGAGAATTTGGAAAAAGTTGGATGGTTCTAAATGTGATT